TATTTATTTAATAATATATTATAATTATAAATTTATAATTTTATATAATATTATAATTATATTATTACTGTTTCTTGAATCCTAGCTAAACAGTAAAACCGACCATTAATTAATTATCAAATGTACAAAAAAAAAAAAAAATCTATCTACAGATATTGTGTATCAAAAGAAAGACAAACCTGGGTCAAACTAATATTCTAATTAATAAGTGGCTACACCAAATTTTTCTATATATAAAGCTACTGCCTACTAGTATTTTGGTTTTATGGTTTTTTTTTTTATCTTAATTATATAATGAGAGATAATTATTTTTCATCTCTTATCTTATCCTATCCACATGTCATGTGATTTGAACTTAAAATATTTTACTTTTAACAAAAAAAAAAAAATGATCGTTGGTGGTTGTAATGTTGATAATAAAAAAAGTATTTAGATTATAATGATATTAACCAATATATATTTCTAGTCGGATGCCTAAACCAACCCGGAGTTTAATTAAACTAACTTTTAATTTTGTCTAAATTCATTTGAAAATTAATTCATACCTAATTATTTTGAAACAAAAAGAGTGAGAAAATAAAGAAGAAGAGATTGAATTACATCTTTTTTTTCTAGCTTAAAATTGCTGATCTCGATTTTGAATTGTTTATGGGGGTTTGCTATATGTTTGTTTCCCGAGAAAAAGATGTTTGTTGGAGTGATGCATGTGATCAAGCGATTGAGAGAATTTGAACAGTGAAGAAGCTAGGTTGGGACAGTTTCTTCCGCTGGTTCTGAGCCAAGCCGACCAGGGCGCGCCCACCAAAGCAAGTGCTGGGTTGGATTGAGACTATTTGTTTCCCAAGGACGTACAGGAGAAAATCACAAGGGAAAAAGTGATGAGGATAGAACCAAAACCTTTCTGCCAAGCTCTTGTATGTGTGTTGTACGTATGGTTGTAGTCTTCTTCTACCCGTACAATCCTTATTTCTCTTCCCTTCTTTTTCTTTGAGAAGAAAAGGAGACAAACCCTATTACTGACTTTGTCTTCATCAAACTCCATTCTTGGATAGGTGGGGGTGGGCTAATTCTAAATTTCTTATATTTTCCTTTCTTGTAAAAGCTTTTAACACACTATTCAATAATCAAAACTTTTTCTTTCAAGTCCCAAGATTATCTTCTCTTTCACTTTCCTCCTCCATTCTCCATGTTTTCTCTTTTGCTTTGCTTTATATATTATTTAGTCACATTTCAATAAGTGATATCTTGTCTGCTCTCCTTTTTTTACTCAATTAGGTTTACTTTATATCAACCCTTGATATATCTCTTTGAGCATTTAATCCCCTTGACTCTCTTTCACTTCTCTTTAATTTGGTGGTTTTGTTCAGTACTCTTCACCGTGTAAACTTTTAATCAACTTTTTTTTTTTTTTTTTCTGTCTTCATCTCTCCCTCTCTTTATAACAGTCCACAGATCTGCCCAACTTCTTCTCCATCCCTTGTTTCAGTCATGTCTAATCCCTATTCCAATTACTTCCATGGGTGGTTCAATGTCAACCCTCTTCACCATTTCTCTTCCTCCACATCAACTTCATCAAACCCATCTTTTTATTCTCCTTATGACCATCATCACTACAGTAGTATGTCCAATAACATGATGATGAACTCTTTTACTCAGTATAAATCCTCCTCCTCCTCATCTCCTCCTTCTCCTCCTTTAAGAGAAGCACTCCCTCTTCTCAGTTTAACCCCGACAAGGCATCATGAAGATCAACAACAAGAATACTACTCTTCTAGCAGTGCCATGGAGGTGGACAATAAGAACAAGGAAAGGGAAGAAAACTATTTCTCTAGTTCTGCTGATGATGAAGCTTTATCTGTAACGCTGCATTTAGGGCTCCCAAATCCTGGTAATATTTCTTCTGATTTGGTCTCAAGGGATGAGATCTCGTCAGATAAAGAAGAAGTCACTGTTGCTTCTGGGTATTCATCAAATACTACACTCAACAAAGGCCAGTATTGGATCCCTACTCCTACCCAGATTCTGATTGGACCTACACAGTTCTCATGCCCTCTTTGCTTCAAGACCTTCAACAGATACAATAACATGCAGGTATATATATATTTGTATACATGTTTCATAATAAGATATGAAACCCTCTTAAAAAGCTTTCCTTTTTCCTTTTTTCTGATTTGTTCTTCTCTTGCAGGAAAAGTGAAAATCCATTCCTTCTCTTTTGTTTGTATACTTGTCTTCTAGCTTGATTTCAAGTTTTTATTTTTTTTAATCTATGCTTTGTTTATGATGAGAAGAGAAGAACACTACTACATATAGTTCCTTAGGGTTTTATTTCTCCAAAAAAAATAATTCCTTAGGGTTTTTTTTTTTTTATCCCATTTTAATGCATATCTTTTTCCCTTCCCGTCAGTTAATATATAACCTCTTTGCATGATTTGTGGGTTTTGGGATTTGAAAATTAAGAATAAATCTGCCTATACCCTCTCTTTTCTGTGATTGAACTACTCAGGGCATTATGCTTTTTGTTCCTTGAAGTTTGTGTTCCAAACATTGGCAAATGTGTACAACTGCAAGTGTCCCACTTGTTCCTTGCCTCGTCAGATCATCTTCATCAAAACCTCAAGAAATAATTTTCTCATACCCAACACTCAAACTTGGCCATGATGAACACCCCACCCCACAAATAGAGTTTGCTTCATCTGGGAATAAAATTAATTTTTGAATATGAACCCTCTTTGAACTCTTGTTCAAACACCCTTGTTTTCTTCTTTTTCCTTCTCTTTATGATTGTCTTCTCTTCTTTTAATACATGCATTATAAGCAGAGAAAATTAAATTGGAATCAACCCCATTTGTCTCCCCCTTACCCTATCCGATGAAGCAACTATAAGTGGATGTCTCCCTCTTTTTTTCTTTAGGTTTTGTGTGACTAGTGAGTGTAAAATTAAAGTTGATGAATTGAGGTTTTATTTGTTGTTTTTTACAATTATAAATGTAGATGCATATGTGGGGGCATGGATCACAGTACAGAAAAGGGCCAGAGTCTCTAAGAGGAACACAACCAACAGGCATGTTGAAGCTTCCTTGCTATTGTTGTGCACCAGGATGCAGGAATAACATTGATCATCCAAGGTCAAAACCCCTCAAAGATTTCAGAACTCTTCAAACCCATTTCAAAAGAAAGCATGGGATCAAGCCTTTTGTGTGTAGAAAATGTGGGAAGGCCTTTGCTGTGAGGGGGGACTGGAGAACCCATGAGAAGAATTGTGGGAAGCTTTGGTATTGTACTTGTGGGTCTGATTTCAAGCACAAGAGGTCTCTCAAAGACCATATTAAGGCATTTGGGAATGGTCATGCTGCTTATGGCATTGACTCTTTTGAAGAAGATGATGATCCAGCTTCTGAGATAGAACAAGACAATGAATCCTCTCAGTGACATAGAAAGAGATGGATCCTCATAGCACTCTACTAATACTTTATTTGTAAGTCTAAGCATTTTACAAAATGCATTAGATCCCTCTTCTCCCTTTCTTTCCAAGCTTGGATTTGCTTAATTAGTGCTTCAAACTCCACATATAGACCAATGTTAGACCAAGCTCCTTAATTTTTCCTGTTTTATTTCATCTCTTCCTCTTTAATTTTCTTTTATTTCAACCTAGAATTGAGACTTTTCACTTTTTTGTTGGACATGGTAATAATATCATTAATTTTATATGGGATCTAGCTACAGGAGAGAAATGTCTTATCTCATAAATAAAAGGACTTATAAAATTTACAATCAGACACAAACTACAAATGGGAGATGAGAAAACCAAAGCGTAGATCAGTTCCAACACCACTTTAATACTAAGGTAAGGTAATATGAAACTATCACACAACTTAGAAAAAAATTCTATTCACATCAACATTCTATATAAATTTTTTTTGAAAAGCCAAGGAAAGTGGTTTATTTATTTTATTTAAGAGTACAAGGTACTCTAACGCATAAACACTACAATGATCACTCTTGGTGCCTATTCATCCTCTATGTTTCCGTGCTAACTAATGTTGAAACTTTAATTTATGCTATCATTAAGTTATGCTTCAAAACACTAGACAGATAACTTAGCATTGGGACTATATTTTTTTTTTGAACATATTTGCAAGGGGCGGGATTCGAACCCAGCCCGGAGAGGGGGGAATGCACCGGATGGCTATTGCCACTAGGCCGCAAGGGCCAGGTGCTAGCATTGGGACTATATAAGGTGATTAAAAAGTTAAAAACTGATAATCTCGCTAGGTGTAGGTAAGGTTAAAATATCAGAATATATATTGCAAGTATATGTATTAATTACTCATGGATGAACTTATTGCATGGCTATATGTATTGACAGACATAATAAAAAAAAAAGGCACACATGAAGTAAAAATTCATGTACATAAGTACATATGCATTACCAGATATCACTTATTTTTTATCCAAAAAAAAAAAAAACTGATCACTTATTGCTGCTCTTGTCTGATATTAACAACAGAGAAAGAAAGAGGGTGTGAAAATATAAATGTGGGCATTTAGTACCATCCATGTGGAAGCTGTCAACATTTTGCCTTAACATCATAATTCCTTTTGTATGGGTCTACAACCATGGAAGAAGAAGAGCATTTTGCAGTTGTTTGAGAGAAAAAGCCCTTTTTCCAACTGCAAATAAATGCATCACCTTTATGTGTTCCTTGCATTTGATGCCATTTGTTTTAGATAGTGAAAAGTAGGAGTTTTCACTGATGGATAGAACATGTACCATGTTTAGATTCAAAAAAAAAAAAAAAAGTAGATTGAAATCAAATGATTAGGTTTTGGTGAGAGAGAAAGATCAGAAACCCGACCTAGCTATTTAATATCTGTACATGTTTACAAGATTGCATAAAAGGTTTGGAAGGAAGGAAGGGAAGAAATGGATCATTTTTGCAGGCTTGAGGAGCACTGTTGTGACTAGTGAGAGTCAAAGATTTCAAATTGAGATGTCACTTCAAGGATACAAGACAGGCTATCTGGGTTCTGTACTATTGGTATTTGCTTAAGTAGCTGTCTTTGCCTGTCTGGGATGGGGGTGGGGGTCGGAGCGAGGTAACCCCATGATGCCCCCATGTCCTAACAGAACTCTGCTACAGCTGGGGAACAACTCACATTTATTCAGCTTCTGGTTGTCCTCTCAGTTCTCATTGGTGTTTCACTGTACCTATGGCTATGGATTTAACATGACACAGTATATATAAAAATGGAGATGATGAAATCAAATGAAAAAAAAAAAAGCATTGTGTGATTCTTTTCTTGTTTTTCCAATGTTGCACAGTGACCTGTCACTAACAATGTTCTGATTTCTGTTGAAGCTAATGACCTTTAAGTTTTTAACTAACCCTATCTACCTAGACCAATGGATCTTGGACTTTCATTATATATATTTATCAAAATATTATAACCCTGATCTTCAACAGAAAACCTGAGAGCAACATGAGTCATCTTCCTTCACATTTAGGATGCAACCAGGAACTGATTCAGGAGAGGGACATTATTCCCCACCATGGCCCTGGCCCTTGGGTCTATTCTCTACTTTCAAAGAGACCTAGGATAGGGTCAATTTTTCTTTTTTTTTTTTGCCACCGTTCACATTCCAACATAACCAGACGGCTTTATCTCCCCCAATTCAAATGACTATTCCACCAATCTTTCAATTTCCAAATCATTTTTTTGAAAAAAGATACACATAGTTTGCAGGTGGAGAAAGAAAAAGGGTATGCATATAATTAAAGACATTAAATGAATATTTAAAAGAAAAAGAAAATAAAAAGTTGCCTCTTTTTGAACCCTTCTCCCCTAGATTTTAGTTTGTCACCTTATTTCTGTTTTAACTGGTTGCCGGCACTTTCCTTTGGAAGATTATGAAATTGAGCGAGGTTTAGAATTCCTGACCTGAGTTTCTCATTGTTTATTGTGAGACATTTTCCAAAGTAAGAACTAATTTTTGTTTTCCCTTGTCTCCATTAGCTGATAAAACACTTTTCGTCACCTTTATTTAAAAAAAGAAACTAACACTTCTTCATTTTTGCTTTACAATGCATCTACCATTCCATTTTATTCTTGGTCTATTCTATTTTGTCGAATCCAATGAAAAGCACACTTATCTCTACAAAAAGGAAAGATGGGACTAGACAGCTTTAATCCCATGAATCTGCTGATGAGATTTTTGTTTCCCATGTCTTGTAGAAGGTAACTTTCAAGGAATTACAATGATGTTCTAGATAAAAGCCAGGGGGAAGAAACAGAAACATAAAGCAGACAAAAGAACATAAACGAGTAGGGAGTACATGCTTCAATCTCAATGGCTAGATGTTCAATGAACATAAAAGATCCAGAAATCTGCTTTAACATTTTTCTGTTCTATTTTCATTTTGCTAGAGAAAATAAATGAGGTTTAACAAGCATGGCAACCTATATAACCGGGTTTTCGTTTAAGATACATGATCCATTGATCTGTTTTCCCCTATGGTTTTTCAACCTCAATTTGTGATAGGAATAAATGGCGTTTGACACATACAGGCTGACCTTCTAGCCTTCCTCTGAAGATTGCCGTTTAATTTTGACTAAAGATCAATGGTTATTACTGTCATGCCTCATGAGCAAATTAAGGCATCAAGTCTCACCGTTTTGCAATACCCTTCTGTTGATAAAAGCCAAATCGTTTTTACAGGCTCATCTCCTCCGGTAAGCTGATCTCGAGGAAATAAAGGCTTCAAAATCAAATGAGAGTTATGTTAGTGGGGTCTGTTCATGATGATAAGCATGAAAACATAAAACCAACAAAATTTGATAGACCAAATTAACGTTAACTAAAGAAATTAACATTTCAGCAGATATTTTCCTAGTACCCTTGTTTCTCAGAAGCCAGTAAGTACAGTATTTCCAGAGCTGTTGCAAATAAAAATTAATGGTCCAGGATGAAAGCCAATGATGGTAAGACAAATTTTGGAAACAATTAGCTAACATTTATTCCCATTTTGGGATACATGAGGTAGCCTTCACAAGTAGTTGTTCTAACATCTATTCCATTTTGTGATATATGAGGCTGTCTTCAAAAGCAGTTGAAGATTTTACATCACAAATATGAGATTGAAACCATGCTTTTGTTGTTCATGGTCTCCTTGAAGAAATTGGAGAGGGACTGTGTGGGTATATAAGCTAATCAATAGTCAATGAAAATTATAAGCTTTTGACATGTTTACTTAAACAGCGTACTTCTAGGTTAAGAGTTGTTCTATTACCTTGCAGACATGAAAGCCATTCCAAGGAACACAGCTTTGACAGCTTGCTTCTGCCCAGCATAATCAAATGCCAGTGGTAGCATTTCATGCAGAGTTAGAAAAGCCATCACTCCACCAACTTCAAGCACAGAATCATGGTATAAGATGGTCAGAAATGAATACGAAGGATATTGTTTTTCTTCCATCACAAGGCATAAAGCAAACAAGAATACTACAAACCAGATCCTAGTAAGCCCTCAAGAATTTCAGGACTTAAGCTGCTTGGAAATAGATAGGCTGCAGTTAAGATGTAAAACAAAATCAATAAGGATATATAACTATTATCATTAAATAATGAAAGAAAATACTGCAAACAAAATGGCATTGAATAATCTATGAACTAGGACCTCAAGGCATGGCATTTTTAGACAATTCGAGAGAATGGAACATAATGGGCATTATTTTGGATTACTTCTCTGACAAGACTCTGATATTGAGGCTTAGACCTCACAAACATTGATTAAAGATGATGCGTTCACTCCTATAACTTAAATTTCATCAGGAGAACATTTTAATAGCAGGTACAGGAAAAGTTGGTAGGCCTACCAACAATAACAACACCAAGAGGCTCTGCAAAACCAGAAAGCGTTGCCAATTTGAATGCCTGCCACTTGCTGAGAGGTTTACATAAAAGTGAACCATTCATCAGAAAGAAGAGTTATTTGTGGACAAATCCAGATATGGGGGCCATAGCAACATAGAGATAAATGGATGTGCTATAGCTCTTTTATTCTTTCATTTCTTTTCTCTACTTCTATTTCCAAGAATATAAATGTAATTGGCTCTAGGTTCTCACCTTTGTGTAGCAAAATAAACAGGAAGTGCAACAGCAACACCCTATCAATTAACATCATTAAGAGAGAAATGTATCACTATTTTATGATGAATGTGTTTCTGGAAGCAAGGGAACCTGCTTAATCAATTTTCAGATGTAAATAGTGTATCAATAGTTTTGTGAACAAACCCTTTCTTTTTCCAGTTGATAATCCAAAATCTTGGTCATCTTTTACCCAAAACAATATGTTGGAATTTTAATCAGAGACAATGTTCAGAGCCAGTTAGTTCTAAGAACCTAGCATAAGTATATGTAGGGGTTTAACAGGACATAAGCATGCATACCTCTGGGATGTTATGCAAAGCAATGGCCAAGGCCAAATTAAGACCAACACGAAGGCCCTACAAGAGAACATGTAAACAAAAGAGATCTGATTGGAATAAGCATTATGGTTGTGGTTAACAGGACCAAACAATTTTAAGTGAGTAATGTCAAAGTCAGAATTTCTTCTCTTGTAAATTAAACTCTATGATGTAAGAATAACATAAAGAACGTTTGGGTACCTTAATGGATCCAAGGAAAACAGCCATTCCTTCTGGAAAATTATGCAAGCTTATGCCTGTAACTCAAAAACATAATTATCCAGTGAGAATACCACTAAAAGCTATGAAGATAAATGAAAGAAGAATTAAAGACAAGGGAGTTTAGATTTAAATATCCCTTCCCTTGAAATAAAAATCTTTGAAACTCTAGAATAATTAAGCAACATATGGCTAGGAAAACATGTCAACATGCACGTAAGAATCATACTTAATTGCAACATAAACCAAATATCTTTCAGATGAAGAAAAATCTAAGTTATAAATTATAAGCAATCAAATAAGATAAATAGAAAGCTATCAACAACAATGGATGTTTATGATTTGACAATTGGACCCATAAAATTTGACCACATTATACCATAAAGTCTATTATATATCTAAGGCTGTATCAGAACAAAATGAATCCAAACAACAAACTATAGTAAGTGAATAAATGAAAAGGGTCGCCACTTAAATTGTATGCAGAGATAGTATTACCTATTGCTGTAATAATCCCACTAAATAAAACCTGGCGACGATGCTTTTTCATTACGTCCTTCTCATCATCATTTTTCTGCTCTCAAATACAATGTTAAACAGTCAATATCTCTCTATGTATTTAGTTGAATAAAGAAGCATTACATGTCAAGTTACAAGTACAAATATATCAAGAAAACCAGTTTGGTTGCAAATCATGCAGACCTTTTTGTTTTTCACATTTGAACTGGGAGCAATTGTTGGTTCTGGTATAAAATTTGCAATGATAGCAAAGAATACAACACCAGCAAAAAACTGCATAATCAGCAAAACTAGAATAAGCTTCAAAGCTAACAGCACAATCAGTCATCACATAATGTAACCTACTACAATTAAATAATGATTGAGGGATATGTCTAACCCAAAGGTTGCCTTTTAAGAACCCTATTGAGTTCATAGCATTATGGGCCAGATCTAGAAATGATATGCTCAACATTAGCCCTGCAGCAAAACCCTGCATGAAAGTCATTGAAGAATTAGATAGTTTAACTGCATAAATAAAAAAATCACCACATTTTGTTGCTGAGATTCTGCAACATTAATACATGATTTTATAAACATTTTCTTGGTAAACCAAATAGAACATATTTGAACTGAAAGGCATACTAGGCATATAATATGCAGCTACTAGACCAAAGAGCAAATGTAGCAGCTATACAAATAAAGCATGCTCAACAACATCTACCCTGTCAAGATTAAAAAAGAAAAAAAAAACTACCATGCAATTTTTTATTTTTTTTTTTCAATTTTGAATAAATGATTTTGTCCTACACTCCAGCTAACTACTAGACAATTAACATTGGAGAATTTGTGGGGGGGGAAAAAGGAGGAAGGGGTGTAAGGTAAAAAGATTGAAGTTAAATTGTTCATCACCTGTAAAAGCCCAAGCATCTTCAGATTTGGAGCTGGATTAAGAATTACAAACAATGCACCTGTTCCACAAGGGATAACTTGTAATTAGCAAATAGAGAAAAGCCACATGAAAGTGCCAGAAAATAAATAAGTAGAGCAGGAAAGGAAGAAAAGCAAAAGAAAAGTAACAAATGAGAATGTTATATACTTGTTGGTAATAATAAATTACATTTTGTCTTAAGCATTCAAGAAATCCATGAAGCCAATACATAACATTGATGTGTTGCTAGTTAAAAAAAAAGAAAAGAATCCTAGAACCAAATTCCCTACAACCCAAAGCTGCTTCCTGGCATAATTCATCCTACAATATCATGCATGCCCCAATATATTTTTAAAGTAAAAGTTCATACTTTGACTCCAAATTGTGAGATACAAGTGGTAGAAGCGAATTTGATATCCATCTAGAATCAGCTACATTATCTTTTTACACGCATATTACATCTGATTTAAGAATCTCAACCACTGAAAGCATTTTAATTGGGTGTTTAAAGAAATTCGTGGTTCTTGAATTCACAAAAATCTTCCTATCTTCCAGTTAGATAATAAATTAAATTTTAATAGCTTAGTCACAGACTCACATAGAGGAAATAATTACAACTCAAGTCATAAAAGGTAAAATATGCTGAATGAACCAACCGTATACAAAACAAATTAGCAGCATGAACACCAAGATGATGATGTCTCACTCACCAATAGAAGTACTCAATCCACCCACAAGGGAAAGAGCAAGCGCCACCAAGACCTGAGAATCCATGGACATTTCTTGCTTTCTCCCTCTTTCTCTCTCTCCTAAAAGACCCAGAAAGCACTCAAACTGAACAAAAACAGACAACCCCAGAAAATCTCGAAAAAAGGGGTCTGACAATTTGTTGTTGGGAGTGAAAATTGATAACCTTTGAAGGGTTCTGCGTCTGTACTGATGTTGACTTAACCCATTACCGTAACGAAGCGTATATAAGCTGCCTAGAGAGATAAAGCGAACAAGATTGAACTAACACAGAGGAATCTCGAGGGAAAATGAAGGAGATGGTTTGATGGACGTGTCCAAGAAATGTTCAAAAAAGTGTAAAGACACCAAGACGAACTTCAGCTTGCTGACACTTTCTTGCTCTACAGTCAATACCTAACTCCGGCCGCTCTGAATCCGATTCCCCTCCTTCGGGGGTCGATTGTCGGATGTTAGCAGATGATGGGCTTAAAGTGATCCTGGGCACACCAATTCATATTTGGGTCTTAATAATTTGTTAGCCTATCCTGCATTTGCTCATCTGTACCTTGGCCCAAATGTCATAGTTTTCTCTTCATCACCGTCAAATTAATTCCCAGTATCAAGGTCACGTTTTATTTGAATGAAAGAAATTTGATTTTTTTAAATAAAATATTAAATTTAAATTTTATAAATAAAAATGAATGAAGAAATAAGTGTTATGAGTATTTTTTTAAAATAGAGTATGACGTAATTTAATTTTGGATTAATTAAATTTAATATAATTATTGGATAATGAAAAATTAGTAAAAAAAATTAATTCTCAATTTTTTAATAGTTGGATTTTTTTTTTATTTTAGTTTCATAATAAAAAAAGTCTCCCATCCTCTATTTTATTTCACTTACGTAATATATAATTTAAATAAAAAATTTCTTAATTGTAATAAAAAATTACAAGAAAATTACTTAAAGTGTTAACTTTAATAATTGAAATATCAAAATAAAACAAAACAAAAAAGTGTTTTACAATGTTCAGATTATATAAATTAAATTATTAAATATGTATTAACTTTTTAATATTAAGAATTGTTCTCATTTTAAAAGTTTTATTTTATAATTTAATACAATTTAATTTATAAAAATAAGTAAATTTTTAGTTATTTCCATTTTGATGTGTTGCGGTATGTCTTACATGAACTGCAATCAACAACCCATGATTAGTGGAGTTTGTTAGCGATTTCATAAAGCCTCCACTAATCATAGACTAATGTTTTTGCAGTATGATTATGCTTTTCTTATAATATTTTGTAAAATTATAAATTGATTATTATAATATGATATTGAATAAATATAATATAATATTAAATAAACTAATATATACATTATTATGAATAAATTTTTAATAAAAAATTAATTATATAATAATATATTATATTATAAATACATAATATTAAATAATAAGGTAATTATAGCATTTTGATTTGAGTGCAAAACCTTTTTTTTTTTTTTGGGTGGTTTTTTATGTTGGGTTGCAGGAAGGTAAAGTACTGTCCTTCCCTTTACAAACTTATTTCTCACCCTTATTAGAACAGATTTGTTGGATTTTCATTTTAGGAATTTCAGTTTTTGAAATGTATAAATTTGCCAATAGAAAATCACAACCACTAAATCACCAAGGCAAAAACGAACATTATGCCAAAAATAGCTTCAAATTCATCCTATATAAACCTCCATTCTGTGTCATTGTTTCTTCAGGACTGCAAATAAAGGTGCCAAAGCGGGTTCTGGTGATAACAAACTCAACTATATTTCACTTTGTACTCGCCAACAACCATGGACATGAAGAAGATCTCCTGCGCCGTCCTCTTTGCCGCTGCCTCCATGACAGCCGCTTTAGCCTCTTACGACGACGAGCACCAGGCTGACGTTACTTACCTGGCTCCTGCACCTGCACCTTTTTCCAGTGCCCCTGCCGCAACCCTGCCGGTGCTTGGATCGGTGGTCGTAGCCTCATTGGTATCCCTTGTAGCATACTACTTGCAGTAAACTGTAAACTCATGAAAAAGAAAAAAATATAATCTATATCTATATGTATATATAAAATGCTACCCTATGCATTAAATATGGTAAGGATTTTACATATACCTTTTGTTTTTATTCCAGAGACGTTATTACATCTTCTTGAATAGTTATTTTTTTTTAAAATTTATGGCTGCACAATAAGTAATAAATTATGATTATTATGATAAATAACAAATTTATTAATAAAAAATAACTGAAAATCGTTTAAATAAATGATATATTAATTATTAACTTTTAATATATATATATATATTTATATGCTCAGCCCAATCCAAATTCTTCCTTCCTCGGCACCCTCAACACCTCGTCTTGAGCACACGTCTGGATGGCACTAAATGTTAGAGAATAAATTGAGCCTCGGCTTGACGCTCACGTTTTGAGAAATGGACACATCGTTGCCCAGCTTCACCACATGAGCCCCACTGGGGATTGCAAAAGTAAAACCCATTGAGCTCAGTTTGCCTAAGACGTACGCCACTAAACCCTAGATTTCCTACTCTAGGAGTGAGTACTTTCCTTGGATAATTGTTTTCTTGAGGTCTTAATTTTTGGGTGCTTGCTCAAAGTTACCACTTTTTAGAAGTCTCGGCAAAGAGAAGGCAAGGAACTTGAAAAATCACTCACCTGAGGGTATAAAACACCTGAAACCAAACTCCGATCTCTCATTCATTGGCGCAATAATTTTATGTTTAGAAAAAAAAATTTTGTTTTTCAAATCCGGTGGATTTGCTTGGGTGTGGCAGGTTGTACGGGAAGCTGAGGTATGTGAACCAGCTGGATTGATTCACCCGTTTTTGTCTACTCCACGAGGTGCATCTCTTAGGATAGAAACAAATTCTCGCCCTGCCCCCCTCCTCTTTTTTTTTTGTGTAAATGTTTTTAGGCTTCTTTAGAATGAGATGAATTTGGGTTTTACTTTGTGAATATTATAATTGTAAAAGAGAAATATGGTTTGAGATTTTGGTACAAATGTGTATGAGGAAGCGAAATTTGAAAAGAGTTTGGTAAAAAAAAGAAGATTTTTGTATGGTCTTTATTTGATTCTATTTTATATTATTTAAAAAAATATTTTCTTAACTTTATCAAAAAATATTTCAAAAGATAATATAATATATTTTTTGTTTTTAATGCAGGCTTTCAGGAGAACGTGATGATGAGAAGACAAGAGAAGATCCAATACAATTGGATGATGAGGACACAAAATAAGACTTCGATAAATATATTGTATTTGTTCATCCAATTTCATACACATCTATAGTTGTCAAATAAAATTTTGAAGCTTTTTTTTTTTTTGGATTATATATCTATATTTTATTTTTCATAGTGCATATTTTGAAATTAAAATTGAAATTGAAATGGAAATAATAT